CAAGGAGAGAAAACATACATACAATACCTACTTGGGCTCTACATCAAGCAGTCCTATAGGGCTCCAAGTCCCAAGACAGTGGCCAGATGTCAAAGGAGCTAGAGAATGTGGTTCAGTCAGTAAAACAAAGGGTAACTAGAGAAAGCGACCCGACACCTCTATACATATATACTAGCCCTAAGGATGAAAATGGATAAAAGGCTCTTCTAACATTCCAGATTAACAGACTCAAATCACCATTTCCCCCCAAAATTTGTAACTGGTGGTATCCATTGTTCACTAACAAACCCAAGGTACAAAATTATGTGAACTGTAACATCACAGACTCTTGCTTTATCTTAGAAAATAGTCATCAGTCTCTACATAACCCAACTAGTGTCTTAAGAAAACTCTCAAAGCAGCAATATCACCAAAAGAGCAAACAAAAAATATGCAGGTAACTGAAGTATCCTTAAAAAAAAAAAAAAACAAGAAAAAAAGAAACCCTAAAAACTACATTTCAAACAAAAGGCCATCTGCTTATGTATTTAAATTTAAGTTCATCTGCTTATGTACGTATGTATGTATGTATGTAAGTAATCTCTCTACCCAATGTGGGGCTCAAACTCATGACCTTGAGATCAAGAATCACATGCTTCTCCGACTGATCCAGCCAGGTGCCCCAAGGCCAACTTCTTTAACATCTACTTAACTCCTATATACCTCCCTATAAAATGACCAGAGTTAACTCAAAAATCAAGTTTAGCCAGAGATTTAAGTACCTTAAGCCTCAAGGGGAATTTTTTTTTTATCCACTGCCATCTATTTACTGATACTCTTTAACTTGGATTCCAAAACCTGGGATTCAACAACTGATTCTATAAATCAATTTCTTTATCTGTACAATTTAAAGAATGCCACTTACTCAAAGGATTATTATGAATTTTAAGTAAGATTTATGATTCAGCATACGTAAGATTCTCAAGAAGGGAATGTTAAATTTATTTTTTTTTTCAATGTTTACTTATTTTTGGGACAGAGAGAGACAGAGCATGAACGGGGGAGGGGCAGAGAGAGAGGGAGACACAGCATCGGAAACAGGCTCCAGGCTCTGAGCCATCAGCCCAGAGCCTGACGCGGGGCTCGAACTCCCGGACCGCGAGATTGTGACCTGGCTGAAGTCGGACGCCCAACTGACTGCACCACCCAGGCGCCCCGGGAATGTTGAAATTTAAAGTGTAATAATGTTGGACATCACAAGTATCCTATGACCTCAAAATCTCTACCACTGCCCTACTCAATAAACATAACTAAATCTACCACGTTAAAATGATGGATCTTGATATTCAGTTGCTCAAAACGTTTAAAGATCCCCAACTTCTATAAGTAGTATAGCTGATTATACAGTACTTGAAGAAATCAATCTAACTTGGGTTTCACTCGTTAACTTAAGTTTCGCTCTTCCAAGAGCAACAGCTAAAAATTTATGTACTGCCCCTCTGCATCTTATCTGTAAATGTTTTTTCTAGAGGCTTCACTGGTTAACAATCCCATATTCCAACAAAAAGGTACAGTATAAAACCCTGTTAAATGAACCTTTACTAAATTTCAACTTTGTCTCAAAATCATAAAAAGTTCTATAACTATTACATACAAAACTTCTACCTTTGAAAGAAAAAATGTTAAGGGGCACCTGTGTGGTTGTCAGTTAAGCCTCCAACTTCAGCTCAGGTCATGATCTCGTGGGGTCTGTGGGTTCGAGCCCCACGTCCAGCTCTGTGCTGACAGCTCAGAGCCTGGAGCCTGCTTCCAATTCTGTGTCCCCCTCTCTCTCTCTGCCCCTCCCCCTGCTCACACTGTCTCTCTGTCTCTCTCTCTCTCAAAAATAAATAAACATTAAAAAAAAGTTAAGACAAATTGTTAAACAAAGAGCTAAATCTTAAGAAAAACAAATCTATTTTACCTCATTTCACACAAATATCTTTTCAAGGAAATATGAGACTTTCAAACTTTTTAAGAAAGTTATACACAAAAGCATTCAAACATTTACTCTTCCTAGTGCCACCAAAGTTCAATGATGTTGTAAATGATTTCTGCCTATAAATTTGGTTCGTTCAAATTAAATATTACTAGACTGACTCATGGAGGGAGTGGTTTGACTTTTGCTGTTCTGAGTCAGAATATACCCAGTTCAGCAGTTCTAAACAATTTTTCATTTGTATAGGTGTCCTAAATGCTAGCTTTTTCCAGTTACTAAATATGACAAACTGTTGCCTTAGAAAGGTCTTAATGGTGATAATATTTTGAATCTATATAGTTCAATTTATAATTAACAAAGTGCTTCCACATGTATTTTCTCACTTGCCTTCACAATCTGAGTTAAATATCTCATACAGCTGAACAGAAAAGACTTTCACAGAGGAATGACAACTTCTAGTTGACTCTTAACCCCAGTAACTCTTTCTCTTTCCCCCAAAATAAAAAAACATAAAAGGCTGGTGGGTTTCTTTAATCAGACTTTCCTCTCCCAGACATATCCCAGGTGCCTCATAAAAACTATGTCTCAAAGCACACACCCTGGGGCCCCAAGAGTTTCAAGGCAGAATCTCCACCCACATAAAAGCCTAGCTTAGGCCCCAAAGAGCCTCAAGTCAGCATCTCCTAAATGATCCCTTTGCCTCTGGCCATCTAGTCTTCTGCATTAAATTCAACATTTCTCATCTGTAGAAGCTGCTGGGTCACTGTGTGGTTGAGAAACCTCAAAGTGAGACAACCTACTGCGAGGGTGGTGATGGTGTAGTGGAAAAACCAAGGACTCGAATCAGACAGACCTGGGTTTTTAATCCAGCTCCAATTCTTATTATCTTGTGACCTGGGACAAGTTACTTAACCTCTTTGCGTCTCTATTATCTCTTCATCTCATCACTGTAAGTCATTGAGGGCTCAGCACTGAATCCCAAGTGCCTGGCAAACAAAAACCACTCAGTATGTGCCAAATAAACGTAAATGAGGATCCCTACAACCTTCACAGTAGCTGTGAGATTTAAATGAGAGTGTATAAAAAGTACCTGGTGCACAACAGGCACTTAATACTAATTAGTCCAGTCCCCCACTGAATATTAGTTAACAATACTATTCACTACTTCTGAAAGCAGAGAGCATGGCATGCTAGTGAATGAGAAGGACACTCTAGAAAAAATATAATTTCAGACTTCTAATTACACGTAGATGCTTTGGTCTATAATTCGATTATGTCTACTATCAAAAGGACTACCTTCCTCTTTGCTTATCATATTGAAAGACTCCCAACTTCTAAGAAACTTATCATTAAAGTGTAAAATCCATACCAAATACTCTTTATCAAAAACCCCTACTTCCACAACACAAGAATCTGGCAAAGTCCATTAACAATGTCTATTCGAGGGGCGCTTGGGTGGCTCAGTCAGCTGAGTGACTGACTTCAGCTCAGGTCATGACAGCTCAGAGCCTGGAGCCTGCTTCAGATTCTATGTCTCCCTCTCTCTCTGCCACTCGCCCGTTCACACTCGATCTCTCTCTCAAAAATAAATAATCATTTAAAAAAAAAAAAAAAGTCTTTTCACTATCCAATATGAAACAATTTTTAAAATTTCAGATCAAAATACAGGCAAACAACTTCTCACCATCTTCACCAACACAAGTGATTCTGGAGCCTTAATAATGTTCCGCAGCCTTAATTTCCCTTTGCACATTGAACAAGGCATAACTTCACTCACTTCCTGTCTGAAACTACTGTAAATAACTACCATATTCTAATCCAGCACCAGTTGTAGTTTGGTGATTCCAAACAGACAAGCAGGTCTGTGGTGATGCTAGAACTGCTGAGCACTTTATATATTTGTTTCTTGACAAACTCCAGGGAATAATAAACTAGCCTGTGGGTCTTCATCATCATCATCATCATATTATTATTTTTTCTCAAGAGTTCTTCTCCAGAAGGGTAGAAAAGAGCCAAAACCTAACAAAAATTCTTTCCACTTACCTAACAATAAAATACCTTTCACCTGAAAAACCAGCAGTACTTGTACAAAAGCGTCTATGCCTCTGAACACTCTAAAGACAAGAGTCGAGGATCCTGGGCAATAGACAAGTTAGCGTTCAGAGGGCCAGACTAGGTTGGGATGAAGACCATGTCCTTGACAAATTTAGAAATTTATATGGATGTCATAAGACATGGGGGAAAACATTCACCCTCCCCCCCCCTTCTGAAAAAACACGACCGTTCTTTTAGAAATCGCAGAACCAGAAGATTATAGTGCCATTGGAATAGACTCCTATACCGTTTCCTCATACTGGAACCCAGGAACAAGACGCTCTTGGAAAGAACTCTCTAACCGAGGACACGCGGGTTCACTATCGCCATACACAGCGATCACGATCACGGAGAGTCTCCAGGATGCCCGCTCACACGCTGGACAATCGCAGGCACACCCTTCCACGCTCCCTCCTCTGCCATTCACCCTCTCCCCGTCCTCCCTCTCACGCACCACTCATATTCCCCCCCACTCTACCCCATACACTGACCGCTCTCTCCCTCTCCCGCTTCCTCACTCTCCCCCATTTACCCCTGTCGCCTACGCACACTCCCCCAACACACCCCCACTGCCCTCTACACTCCGCCCGCACTCACACACACACACTGACCCCGGACACGGCCCCCAACTCTCCCATCCACACCCCCCACTCCGTCTTCCTCACCCCATATGCACACCCAGCCCTCTCCCCAACTCACACTGTCCCCCTCATGCACGCACATTCCCCACACACACACTCCACATTCTTGCACACGCACAGTCCCCCCTTCCTCACCCACCCTCGTTCTCCACGCTTCCCGGCTGCGTTCCCCCCGCCCCCGGCCCGGCCCGGCCCTCCTTCCGGGGACGTGTCTCGGGCCTGCACTAATGGCTGCGGCGCCTCCCGCCCTCCCCTTCCCCGAGGCCCCGGGAGCCGGCGCGGGGGCCGCCCGGGAGGAGCGCACTCACGCTGGCGAGCTGGGGACTGGGCATTGAAGTCCGGCGGCGGCGGGAGCGAGGAGGCGCCTCTCTCCTCAGTCACCTCGGCGGCGGCGGCGGCGGCGGTAGCGGTGGCGGCGGCGGCGACGACTCCCCCCCAGCCTCGGCGCGCGACACCCGGCCCGGCCCGGCGGCGGCGGCGGCGCGTGTCCACGAGTCCGTCTTGCTGCTGCTGCTGCGGCCGCCGCTGCGTCTCCTGCTGCCGCCGCTGGCCCCGCTCCCGCCGCTGCCCTGTGGCGTCACCTCGCGCCTTGCCCGGCCGCCGCTGCCGCTCCAGCCGCTACCGGACGGACGACGGTTACAGCCCGGCCGATCGCGCCGCCGCCACCACCACTGCGCGCGCAGCCGGAACCAGCTCCTGCCGCCGCCCCTCAGGGGGCGCTGCGGGGCGCGGCGCGCGCGCCCACTGGCCCGCCCCCCGCACCCGCTGACTGGCTGACCGGCCGGCTCGCGGGGCGGTTGAGCCCGCCCACCTACCCAGCGGGGCGCTGACCCACTGCCCTCGGAGCCTCCCCCGCTCCTCCTCGTGGTTCGTTCCGCTCCGCGCTCCCGGCTGCGGAAGGCGCGTCCATGTGACCGGGGAGGGGGGGGGCGGAACGTGGCCTGGGGAGTCGTTCGCCCACACCGCGGCCCCCTCAACCCGCACCTGGGCGGAGGCGAGGGCTGGTGGCTGCTGTGTAACGTGCAAGGTCGAAGGGCTTTTTCCCGCATCCCGAGCCGCGAAGCCTGGGGCCAGATCCTGATGGGACGGGGCGGCGACCGAGCCCTTTGCCCGGGGATTTCCAGCTCAGAAGTGACAACCAGGGCAGCTCAGTACTTGGCTGCCCTTCCTCGAGGCCCCAAATAAATAGCGTGTGCGTCTGCAATTGTGAAGGATGTTTCTGCCTCTCTCCCCGCCCAACTCCGCGCGACACACACACACACGCACACGCACGCAAACACACATCCTACGAACCCTCCTTGACAGACCAAAATTCAAACTTCCGGGACGGAATATCTTGGGCAAGTTATTTCCTCTCTCTGAGTATTCTCAACTATTAAGTGGAAATAGTTAGCTACCTCATAGGGCTCTTTTCACATACCAGTGATATAATGTATGAAAAATGCCTGGGTTTCCAACCCAATGTCCCCTTTAACGACAGAGATTATCCTGGAGAATCTACTATTCTCTCTTGTGTTTGGAAGGTGACCATAAATTCTTTAATTCTTTGCCAGACCACGAGTTCTGAGTTTGGGTTTGGAAAATGTGGTCACTGGTGAGTTGGGAGAGTGGTCTGGGCCACTACTGGATGACAGCCAAAAAGAGGAATTCCAAACTGGCTTGGGAGGAAGAGGGGAGGCTCACCCATTAGGGTTGGGGAGGGGGGCTTGACCTCCCCTGTCCACCCTAAAATGTCTCACCTGCCCAGAAATGTCACCTGTCCAGAAGGGGCTCCTGCCCCTTAGGCTGCTTCCCCTCCACCACACACATGATCATCTGGCCCTGTGCGGAGAAGCAGTGGTCAGCAGTCATCATTAGGCCATCCCCACAAGGTAGACCTGGGGCATTGCTCCTGACCAGAAGGCTTCCATTAGAGCTTAGCAGTAAAAAGAAAGGTCTTATGACTCAGCCACATTAAGCCACAGAACAGAACCCAAGATGTTCACCACCAGCAGGTGGCCCAGGAGAGGGTATTCCAGGCCAAGGCTGGCTGGCAGGACTGTGTGGGAGTTGAGAGGCCCTCAAGGCCCTTGGATGAGGAGCACAGGCTCAGCTGCCATTTGCACTCTGTCTGCCTCCAGCAGGCAGCATTCTCTACTTCCCGGAAGCACAGACTTGAAACAGAGAACTGCCTCCTCCACAAAACTTGCGCTGAGTTTCCCGGCCATTGATTCTTCCGCTAAAGTCTCAAAACACCTTACGCAGTCCCCTGTCATAGCACTTATCATGTGTATTGTAAATGCCTATTTTCATGATTCTCCCCTCCTTCAATTGACCTACCTTGGGCAATCTAGTACATGGTTGAACAAACGAATGAATCTTCCCTCATCTAGCTCTCAGCCTGGCCCTAAGATGTCAGTAAATAATACAATATCAACTAAGGAAAACAATAATGGCTATGATAGTAGCTACCAATTATTAAGTATCTACACTATTCTTTTTTCTTTTTTTTAATTTTATTCATTTTCAGAGGCAGAGACAGAGCCCGAGCAGGGGCCGGGGCAGAGAGAGAAGGAGACACAGAATCTGAAGCAGGCTCCAGGCTCTGAGCTGTCAGCACAGAGCCTGACGTGGGGCTCGAACCCACAAACCCTGAGATCATAACCTGGACCGAAGCCAGGTGCTTAGCCCACTGAGCCACCCAGGTGCCCCACGTGTACAGTATTCTAAGCCCCAGGTAAATTGTTTTTAAATATATTATCAAGTTTACTCTTCAAAATAATACTATAAGGAAGGTATCATTCTTATTTTGTCTTTTTTTTAATTTTTTTAATGTTTATTTTTATTTTTGACAGAGAGAGAGAGACAGAGCATGAGCGGGGGAGGGGCAGAGAGAGAGGGAGACAGAATCTGAAGCAGTCTCCAGGCTCTGAGCTGTCACCACAGAGTCTGACACGGGGCTCGAACCCACAGACCGCGAGATCATGACCTGAGCTGAAGTTGGACACTCAACCTACTGAGCCACCCAGGCGCCCCTTTTTTTTAATTTTTTTTAAGTTTATTTATCTATTTGGAGAGAGAGAGAGAGAGAGAGCGGGGGAGGGGCAGAGAGAGAGAGGAGAGAGAGAAAATCCCAAACAGGCTCTTCACTGAGCGCCAGGCCCGACTTGGGGTTCAATCTCACAAACCATGAGATCATGACCTGAGCTGAAATCAAAAAGCCAGATGCTTAACCAGCTGAGCCACCCCAGCACCCCTATTATTCTCATTTTAAAAGGGATTAGGGGTGCCTGGGTGGTTCAGTCGGTTGAACATCGGACTTCAGCTCAGGTGATGACCTCATGGTTTGCGGGTTCGAGTCCCACGTTGGGCTCTGTGCTGACAGCTCAGAGCCTGCAGCCTGCTTCGGATTCTGTGTCTCCCTTTCTCTCTGCCCTTCCCCTGCGCACGTCTGACTCTCTGTCCCCCTCCCCCTCAAAAATAAATAAACATTTAAAGAATATTTTTTTTAAGGGGCAATTGGAATTTCAGAGAGATGAAGTGGCAGAACCAGGACTCAACCCAGGCGTCTGCCTCTGAAGCCCAAGTAAGCATATTAGTCTCTGACTCCAATCAATAATGGGTGTCCCTCAGAGTAAGCTGGAAACCCTTCTGAAGTGTTAGAAACACTGGCCTCCGAGAGTGAAAGGCCTGAGACCATGATGCCACCATACCCCCAGGACAGCAGGGGAATGCTCTAACCCCTGACATGAATGACCTTGTCCAAATGGTTTCCCAAGGAAGGCTGCACACCTCAAACAGATCAGGAACTGGGCTGCAGGCGCCTTATTATAGTTATAAACCACCCTTGGCAGTGAGTTTCACACATAATGAGTGCCCTGACTTCATCCACTGCCTTTGCTGAAACCTTCCAAGTGCCATTAGCTTATTAATCTACCCAGTGCCCCTGTGAGGCAAAGCTGGCATTATTCTTGGCTGATTTTATGGAGTGTTAGCTTCTGAAGAGCAGAAGCTGTGTGGGCCTGCCACACACAGGAGTTAGACGTAATGGCGATGTGGCAAAGAAACTGAGACCCTTGGAGAAGTGGTTTCAGATGGAGGTGGGGACACAACCCAGGTGCCTGGTTCCCACCCCAGGACTCTAGGCTGTTTCCTGTGGCATCTTTGCATTGCCATATAGTTCCTGGGTGGCCTTGGGAAGTTACTTCATCTAGTCTCAATCTCCTCATCTGTAAAATTGAAATGGTAACAGTGCTTACCTCCAAAGGTAGTTTTGAGCGTCACGGGAACCAGCGTATATAACTCAGGTAGAACCACACCCGACACATAGTGAGTGCTCGATAGGGGCGCCTGGCTGGCTCAGCCAGTAGAGTGAGCAGCTCTTGGTCTTGGGGTCATGAGCTCGTGCCTCACATTGAGTCCAAAAATCACTTAGATAAATAAAACTCAAAAAAAAAAGTGTTCGATAAATGTTAGCTACTATAACAACTATGAGAATGGTACTGGGCACTGTGGAATGAATAAATGGAATAAGTTTTGTTACCCCTGGTTCTCAGAGTCTATTTCAAAATTGCAGGCTCTGTTCCTTATTACTAGCTTTGCGACCTTGGACACGGGGCTTCACTTCATGAATGAACCGCTGTCTTCATCTGTGAAATGAGACAGTTCTGAAATGAAGGTCCTGAAGGTGCTTTGTAAACGGTCAAGCACCGTGTAGACACGAACCGTGGTTTTGCGCTATGACGGTACAGGAATCCCAGTTCTGCCCCTGAAATCCCTGACCTGTAAAGTTCCTTCATGTGTAATATGGGATGGGGATCACATCGCTCTCAGGGGGTCGTGGCGAAAAACATTAAATGATTAAAGGCGATATATTCTAGTGCCTAGCACGGTGGAGGTGGGCCATACGTGTTACTTCCCTAACCGCCAACGAGTGTTGCTTTTCAACGTCCTAAAGTAAAGGAAGCTGCAGGATGTGGTGGGAAATGTATAAAACCAATAATAGAGCTGGGATTATTCTTGCCACCGTGTGGCCTTGGGCAAGTTATCTAACCTCTCTGAGCTTTCAGATTCCTTGCCTCTAATAAGAGATAAGGTATGTCTACGTTGCAGTTTTAGGAAAACAAGACTGATGGACCAAGCACAGACCTTGCCTCAGAGGAGGGGCTTGCTCAATAAATGGGAACTACTAACCAATGTACTGGCAGACCTATGAACCACTCTTACGAAAAGGACCCAGTTGGAAGCAACGACCAAAATTCCCCAACCCGACACCAGACGCGGTCATGAGCTGCAAAATAAACGATCCAGCCTCTACAAAGTTCAGCTGAGCTTGGGAGGTGCCCGCCCAGCACGGCTTAGCATGTCTGGACCCCAAGGACCGGTCAGGAGAAGGCCAAGAGAGGACCCACCCCCTCCCAAAGTGATAACCGGGGAGGAG